GTATAGGATCAGAGCAATAGACGTGAAAAAGAGAGATAGTAATGTACAATGTGCAATTTAGAAATACTCGTTATACAGAATATGTATTAATAGTATTGAAAATATGAGGTTAATATTGAAGAGTGAAGGAGAAAACAAGGACTAAAAATCAGGGGTGGATAAATGGATATACAAAGAGAATATGGAGAAATTAGTTGATTAGAGTAGGGATGAAAAAATAACACTATAAAAATAATAATGAAAGGGTTTAGCACGAAAAATAATAACAATGAAAGTTATAGTATGATGATATGAATGGATCATGAAGGTATGACTGATTGGGGCTTAACAATGTGAGGCCCTGTTGATGTATTTGTAGCATCACAAAGAGGGGTCACTACTTCAGATGATATTGACTGCTCTACAACGAAGGGCTCAGTTTTACGGCTCCCATAAAAAGCAGCCGTTGGCTTAATACGTGTCTGTTTGCGACTAGGGTTACCATGGCCGCAAGGAAACCCGCCACAGGGACCAGACGCACCCGCCTCAGGTAGCTGCGGTGGCCTGGGAAGTTGGATGGTCTGGGGTACTGGAAGACGTGACCAAGTGACCAGGCTACGAAGAGGACGAGCCGGAATATTCTGGCTGATAGCCTTAACACGCAGGTTGCGATCCGAGGTGATAAGTACGACTTCGCGAATTAGCCTAAGGTGATGGCGCACTGAGTGACGCAAGCAATTAAGGTAAACGAAAAAAAGAGAAAGGTGTTTTATTAGTCTGCATATAGCGGCATGTATGAGGTGAAATTAAATCAAAACTCAGGTATAAATGAAAAAAGCAGCTAAATAAAAAAAATGCATAACTTTGTAGAATAGTATTCTGCAACTGGATGTAAAAAAAAATTTCCATTTACGTCGTCGACTGACATCACCATGAAGAAATAAACGTAATTTAAAATATTTTAGAATTTATGATATGTATTCACCCTATTTCGTTTAAGATGATGTAGGACTGGTAGTATAATCTGTTTGACAGCATATTCGCAACTTGATCGTGAAGTCAGGGAAACCTCGATGAAAGCACCTATGCTATAGCAATAATGGTGCTTTTAGCACCAGACAATGCACTCCGGATAAGATGCATACCTCGAAGTCACCTTATACGACAGCCAAGTTGCGAAAATCAGATTAAACCACTTCTATACAGGGAAGGGCTTTTGAGAACAAATAAGAGGCCGTACCATCTTGCTCTCCGTACATTCGACCATAACAACTTGTTCAAATTAAAGCCCGAAAGACCATTCCATCTTGCAAGAAAAAAGGAGATCTGGCCCTCAAATGTGCGTAAAGCATATTCATTGCTACTAGCATCATTAGCAAGGCCGATCATGACTACACAAGCATACACAAGCTGGGAACTTCGGCGAAAGCATACAAGACCCTTAAGAATAAACAATGAAAATATAATGAAACTAATAAACCACAGAAAATGCATCACATGTAAGAATGCTTTTAGGGAAATTAACTCAGCTGGTTCGGGGCCTACAATTTTTCAGGGAAATACATTTCTTATGATTATAATTACTAGCGATTTTAAAAAATGCTTTAATATATATTTAATAGTTTGACGTTATTGCACATAAAATAAGTAACTTCGAGGAATGAAATTGCAGACACATGATTGCTTAGTCAACAAACCCACTATAAATATGATTTGGGTAAGGTCTGACTTGACTTGAATGCTACATTTGCTCTGTAAATCCCTGGCATCCGTGGCTGTTGTAGATATATAATAATGTCGTGAAGATACTTGCGACTTGATATAAAATCTTGTCGAAGGTTCAAAAAAGGCTTATGCGATGCTGAGGCTGCAGTCCAACATAAATGAAAAGCAAGGCGAAGTGAACTTTAATGGCGTTGTAAAGCTGACTCATCTCATTGAGAGAAAACTCAGCTATTAGGCTTTAAATCATCTTAAGCGACCCAGGCTGACTAGGCTTGTATTCAAGGCTTAATGATAGTCTCGAAAAGTACTTATAGCAAATAATTAAAGAAAAAAAATGATTTGAGCAATGGTAGTTAGGCCATCCCACAGTCGGATGAGTAGTTCTCAGGATACAATTAAATTATAAATAGGTTTGTCAGACAAAAGATTATCTCATCCAGGGTGTAGAGCAGTTTTTACCTCGCCTGGGTATTATCAGCACCATAATCGAGATTCGATAACGCGTCTTGAGTAGCGTAACGACGTTAGCATTACACTATACAGTAAAGGAGGCC